ATTTGAACAAACTTGGTAGCCCTTCATCCCAGCATGCTACAGGCCCAATATCAGTACCCTGGGCCTTTTGGTTATTGAGAAGAAGTTGTTTGAAGATTTTAACATATTTGACCCCTGTGACCTTGAAAGTGGGTCAAGGTCATTTATTTGAACAAACTTGGTAGCCCTTGATCCCAGCATGCTACTGGCCAAATATCATCTACCTAGGCCTTTTGGTTATTGAGATAAAGTTGTTTAAAGCAAAAAGTTGACGCCGGACAGACGGACGACGGATGCCGCACCATAACATAAGCTCACTTGCCCTACGGGCAGGTGAGCTAAAAATTGTTCCACTTCACCCAAGGATTCTTCAGACCGAATATGGAACAAATCCTTTCATTCTTACAGAAGAAGAAGGATTTTAAAGAATAATTTGCTATGTTTCCCCTATTTGGCCCCTCCCCTCAGACCCCTGGGGTGCCACACCCATGGTTTATACAAAATTGGTTCCCCTTCTCCCAAGGATGCTTCAGACCGAATATGGAACAAATCCTTTCATTCTTACAGAAGAAGAAGGATTTTAAAGAATAATTTGCTATGTTTCTCCTATTGGGCCCCACTTCTCAGGCCCCTGGATGGCCAGACCCACAGTTTATACAAAATTGGTTCCCCTTCACCCAAGGATTCTTCAGACCAAATATGGAACAAATCCTTTCATTCCTAGATAAGAAGAAGGATTTTAAAGAATTTGCTATATTTCCCCTATTGGGCCCCGCCCCTCAGCCCCCAGGGGAGCCAGACCCACGGTTTAAACAAAATTGGTTCCCCTTCACCCAAGAATGTTTCAGACCAAAATGGAACAAATCCTTTCATTCCTACATAAGAAGGATTTTAAAGAATTTGCTATATTTCCCCTATTGGGCCCCGCCCCTCAGCCCCCAGGGGGGCAGGACCCATCATTTATACAAAATTGGGCCCCTTGGCCTAAGGATGCTCCAGACCAAATTTAGTCCAAAACTACTGGGCCGTTCAGGACAAGTAGCGTTTTAAAGGAAAAGTTGACGGTCTGACGGACGGACGGACGGACGACGGACGCTGCGCCATGGCATAAGCTCACTTGCCCTTCGGACAGGTGAGCTAACAAATGTTGGTCCAAAATGTGATTTCCCTATATAAACTACAGTAAAGTTAAACGTTAACCTTGAAAATTGATGAAGGTCATTTATTTGAACAAACTTGGTAGCCCTTCATCCCAGCATGCTTTTGGCCAAATATCATCAACCTAGGCCTTTTGGTTACTGAGAAGAAGTTGTTTAAAGTAAAAAGTTGACGCCGGACGGACAGCGGACGACGGACGGCTGCATACAAAGTTTCATCAAACTCGGTTAACATTTACTGAAGTTATCGTGTTCACAAGGAAAAGTTAACAAACAACGGACGACGACAGACAAAAGACTATCACAATAGGTTAACATGACCTATGGTCAGGTAACCTAAAATGTTATATGAAAATTGTTCGTTGTTGTCTCTAGTTTATATTAACATTTTCAATTCTAAAGTTGCTTCAGTATTTACCTGCACAGGTGGGAATAAAGGTAAGAAAAGGTGAAACTTTTAATTAATTGGATTTAAGCACCAGAAAGATCATTTTAAAATTATTTTTGTCCACAAATGTGATTGGCAAATGATAACAGAGATTATGAACTTTATTTTTGACATAAGACGCTGTACATTTACACGGAGATTCTCAGGTAAAAAGGTCAGGTATTTTGTCAAGAATTGCATACAGGTTTCAGGTCGTCATTCAATATATTTATTGTCACAGTCGCATATAGATATATCTTAGCTACGGTCTAGTTTATGATTAAATCATTGATAAAAAGTTGGAAGAAATAAATCGGCTCAAAACGTATCAATGTCAATGTTCAATTCGGCCTCACCTGCAGACGACATGTGCGTCTCGGTCCGCCGATATTTTCCTGTTTGCGTAGGGCACAAAGCCGTTTATTGGAAAAATACATATTATGTTACACCGAAGTAATTCCACATCAACCATATCAAACCCTTCAAAACCTTTATTATCATCGTAGGTGACGCTGGAGAATAAATGTTTACCATCATATTCATCACTTCAATCTACACGTCCGCCATTTTTATGACGTTTTTTTCCGATTTGAAATTCTCTCCCACACTTTTGGTTATTACTAGGGTACATTGCCAGGAATATCGAAAGTAAGGACAAAACAACCAATCAGAAGCCTTCTACTATACACGTTCGGGTTTGGAGAAAGACCGAAATCGGAGTTCGGTAACGCACTGAATTCCGGAAATTTGGAAAATCGCTTTTTGGCCTAAGCTCATCTGGCACATTGTGTCAGCTGGGCTAAAAATTATATCTTCTGGTTCTTTAGAACAAGTTTAAATGGTTAAAAGTTGATGGACAAAGCACGACAGTGGACGAAAGGTGAACTTAAAAGTTCATGGATGTACCAGTTGGGCTAGAAATATTTCCCCTTGAGTTTTGTTCCTCTGATCCCCGGTGGGCTGTACCCTTCATTATGCAAATACAATTATTTGTGCATTGAACTCAACTCACTTTAAAATTTGTGTCATTGTTTCCTTCCTATTTGTTCCTTGAAATGGTAATGCACCTGTCAGCATCTCAAACTACAAATAAAAGTTATATGTCACAAACAGAAACACTTATATACATATCATTATATTGATTCTACAAATATTCTTCCGGTAGTGAAAATTTGGGTTGCAAAATGCGGGAGAGAAATAATTTCCTTCAAATCTTTTAAAGGAGCTTTTTTCACATCACAGCAAGATATTTCCTGAATTCAGTGTATCAATGGTATTAACCTTAACAAGAGGCCCAAGGGCCTTAGCAGTCACCCGAGTTATATCATTGGTACTGGTAGCTTTATTTTATTGTTCAGATGTGATGTGGTAATCAGCACTTAAACTAAGTGAAATACAATACTTGTCATGTCATCAAAGGATAAGAATTTTAAAATACTGTTTAATGTTCCCTTTGGGGCCCCGCCCTAGCCCCTAGAGATGGGACAGGAATTCCAATTTTACAATGTAATACCCTCTTCATTCACCAAAGATGATTCTGACCGAGTTTGAATAATTTTCTGCTGAAAATGGATAAAATATTCCCTATATAAACTATAGTAAACTTTACCCCCTCTCCAAGGGGGAATGGATGGCCCGGGGGTCCTGAAATTTACAATTTCAATAAAGCCACTGATGATCTTTCCATCCATGCAGAGAAAATGACTGTAGTACATCCGAGTCTGGAGAAGAAGATTTTTGAAATATTGGTTAATTTCCCTTTGGGGCCCCACCCTGGCCCCATGGGTTAGGGTAGGAATCCCAATATTACAATTTTGTAGCCTCATCTACCAAGGATGATTCTGACCAAGTTTGAAAAAATTCCATCCATTGGTTCTTGAGAAGAAGTTGAAAATGTAAAAAGTTTACACACGACGGATGACGCACGGCGACAGACGGAAAGTGATCGGAATAGGTTACTTGAGCAAAGCTCAGGTGACCTAATAAAGGGTAATGAAATAATAAGAGGCCCAAATGGCCTGTATCGCTCACCTGGTATTAATCTCACACTTGTAACCTTAAAAGTGGACTACAATAAAGTGACATGCAAAATATCAGTATTTATGACTCTTAGTCATTCAAAAGAATTTGTTAAAAGATTCAAACACATTTGACCCCTGTGACATTAGAGTTAAACTAGGACATTAAGTCTAACATTCAACCCAGCTTGTCAAATATCATCATCCTGGATATTTTGTTTATTAAGAAGATGTAATTAAAAGGTTTATACACATTTTGTTGGGCTCAATCTGTGAAATCTACCAGCCAAATATTGTTATATGATTCAATGCCTTTCGGTTCTTCAGATGAAGTTGTTTGAAGTGTTTGACATATTTGTTCCTGTTACCTTGAAAGTATGTCAAGGTCATTTTCCTTGCAAACTTTGTCGATTCTATGCCTTTTGGTTGTTCAGTAGAAGTCGTTTGATGCATTTGACATATATTGACCCCTGTGACCTTAAAAGTAGGTCAAGGTCATTTTTATTCGCAAACATTGTCTCGCACAATCCAAGAAATAACCAGCCAAATATGAAGATTCTATACCTTTCAGTTCTTCACAACAAGTTGTTTTAAGTGTTTGACATTTGACCCCTGTGATCATGAAAGAAGGTCAAGGTAATTTTCACTCTCAAACTTTGTCGGGCTCTATCCCAAGAAGCTATCAGCCAAATATAAAGAGTCTACACCTTTCAGATCTTCAGAAGAAGTTGTTTAAATAAAAAGTTGACGGACAGAGGACAGACGCTGCGCCATGACATAAGCTCACTAGACCTTCGGGCAGGTAAGCTGCAAATGTGGATCATAACCAGAACATAGTCAAACGGTAGTCGACATGTTTTTACCTCTGAAGTTGAGGCTTCATTCGGACAATTTTACAATGTTTTAGACACTTAAAGTACTCTCTGGAGTAGGAGGGGGGGGGGCTCTATTTAACATTGTGATGTAATAGATAATTAAGACCTTAACATTTAATTGTAGCAGAATTGTTATAAATCAGACTAGGTGAGCGTATAACACAAATCTAGTGCTGGTGTGTTATACCATAGGACCACCAATCAGCGGAACTGGACTTACCATGAGGACGCCGTAGGACCAACGATCAGCAGAACTGGACTTACCATGAGGACACCATAGGACCACCAATCAGCAGAACTGGACTTACCATGAGGACAATGTAGGACCACCAATCAGCAGAACTTGACTTACCATGAGGACACCATAGGACCACCAATCAGCAGAACTGGACTTACCATGAGGACAATGTAGGACCACCAATCAGCAGAACTTGACTTACCATGAGGACACAATAGGACCGCCAATCAGCAGAACTGGGCTTACCATGAGGACACCATAGGACCACCAATCAGCAGAACTTGACTTAGCATGAGGACACCATAGGACCACCAATCAGCAGCAGTGCCGTGTCCTTTCCTGTTGACAACCTCAGGAGCCATATACTCCACTGTACCACAGAAGGAGTAAGTTTTTTTCTCATCAAATATTGATTCCTTACTAAGCCCAAAATCAGTCAGCTTGATATGTCCATCAGTGTCTAGCAATATACTGAAATTTGTAGAAAAAAAACATACAAAATACGAGATATTGTATTTTTTCAGGTATTGGCAGACTGCTTTTCTAATATGAAGTTTCTGAAGGCTAGGCAACAACTATAGTAGACAAACATATATGTTTTAAGGTCCCTGTACACAATGTGGGGATTATAGATATTTGTTGGGACTATTTACTTCTCTGGTTTAAGGTCACTGTACACAATGTGGGGATTATAGATATTTGGGGACTATTTACTTCTCTGGTTTAAGGTCCCTGTACACAATGTGGGGACTATAGATATGTTTTGGACTACTAACTTCTCTGGTTTAAGGTCCCTGTAAACACAATGTGGGGACTATAGATATGTTTTGGACTATTAACTTCTCTGGTTTAAGGTCCCTGTACACAATGTGGGGACTATAGATATGTGTTGGACTACTAACTTTTCTGGTTTAAGGTCCCTGTAAACACAATGTGGGGACTATAGATATGTTTTGGACTACTAACTTCTCTGGTTTAAGGTCCCTGTAAACAATGCCAAGGGAGTGGAGATGGTCCAGGGCTAGTGCTAACTCAGCCAGGTAAAACTTGACATCCTCCTCTGTGAACATCACCTACATATAAAACAACAAATCACAAATGAACAAACTCGCAGGTGTTACCACTACAATGTTTCTCCATACATATAACATCTATCAATGATGTAATTAGGACTTCTACTGACGATGAAAAGACCTATCACTTGTTGAGGTATGATTTTTGATCTTTTTCTTCTTCTACAAAATTTTGTCCCCACACTTTCTTAGCAGAATGATAAAACCTTATAAACAAGAGGCCTAAGGGGCCTGTATCCCTCACCTTGAAACGTTAACGAAGTTGAAGTTGAAATAGCCAGATGTTGCTGGTAGTGTACACATATTACATGGTTAGTCAAGGGTTATATTAATATGCAATTGGACAAAACCCTGTCATTCCTACAGGAAAAGGAAGGAGGATTTTGAAGCATTTCTTATGTTTCCCCTATTGGGTCCTGCCCCTCTGCCCCCGGCGGGATCAGACCCACTATTGATACACAATTAGGTCCCCTTTACTCAAGGATGCTTTAGACCAAATATGGATATAATCCTGTCATTCTTCCAGAAGAAGGATTTTAAAGAATTTGCTAAATTGCCCCTTTTGGGCCCCAACCCACAGGCCCCTTCCCCATAGGATGCAACTGTTCAAATATGGTCAAAATAACTCCATCCCAACAGAAGAACAAGATGCCCAATGGGCCTGAATTGCTCACCTGGTATTAAGTCTCACACTTGTAATCTTAAAAGTGGACTAAAATACAGCTACAGGCAGAATATCAGTGTGTGATAGATAAGAACCTAGTAAAAGATTTAAACATATGACGCATGTGACCTTGAATGTCGAACAAGGACTTTAGGTTGAACAGAGTTTATAGTCTTCCAACCCAGCATGCTTCTGGCTAAATATCATTACCCTGGACCTTTTGGTTATAAAGAACAAGTCATTTAAAGATTTAAACATAAATTGACCACTGTGACCCTGAATATTGGCGAAGGTCATTCATTTGAACAAACTTGGTAGTCCTTCATCCCAGCATGGTAATGGCCAAATATCATCACCCTAGGCCTCTTGGTTATTAAGGAGAAGTTGTTTAAAGTAAATTATTGACGCCGGACGCCGGAATTTGCTGTTTCCCCTATTGGGCCCTACCCCTCTGCCCTATGGTGGCCTTACTCACTGTTTATACAAAATTGAGTCCCTTTTGCCCAAGGATGCTCCAGACCAAATTAGGATGAAATCCCTAAATCCCTATGGTAGAAGAAGGATTTTAAAGGTTTACCTCTATTTCCCCTATTGGACCCTGCCCCTCTGCCCCCAGGGGGACCACATCTACTGTTTATACCAAATTAAATCCCCTTGGGCCAAGGATGCTCCAGACCAAATTAGGATAAAATCCCTTAATCCCTATGGTAAAAGAAGGATTTTATATGTTTTACCTCTATTTCCCCTATTGGGCCCCGAACCTCTGCCCCCAGGGGGGCCACACCCACCGTTTATACAAAATTGAGTCCCCTTGGCCTAAGAATGCTCCAAACCAAATTTAGTCAAAATCTAGAAAAGTTGATAGACAGACAGACGACGGACTCTGCGGTATGGCATAAGCTCACCTGATGGTCCTTCGGACCTCGAGAGCTAAATATATGTGTTTCATCCCCTCTGACCCAATCATTTTGGTGCCGATTCAAATCATCTTTTTTTTTACCAAAAAGCTATGTTGCCTGTGTGTAATAATGGTAGTTGTGTTTACCTACCTCTTTAGCTATGTTGCCTGTGTGTTAAAATGGTATTTGTGTTTACCTACCTCTTAAGCTATGTTTCCTGTGTGTAATAATGGTATTTGTGTTCACCTACCTCTTTAGCTATGTTGCCTGTGGGTAATAATGGTATTTGTGTTTACCTGCCTCTTAAGCTATGTTGCCTGTGCGTAATAATGTTACCTACCTCTTTAGCTATGTTGCTTGTGTGTAATAATGATATTTGTGTTTACCTACCTCTTTAGCTGTGTTGGCTGTGTGTAATAATGGTATTTGTGTTCACCTACCTCTTTAGCTATGTTGCCTGTGTGTTAAAATGGTATTTGTGTTTACCTACCTCTTAAGCTATGTTGCCTGTGCGTAATAATGGTATTTGTGTTTACCTACATCTTTAGCTGTTGCCTGTGTGTAATAATGGTATTTGTGTTTACCTTCCTCTTTAGCTATATTGCCTGTGTGTAATAATGGTATTTGTGTTTACCTACCTCTTTAGCTATGTTGCCTGTGTGTTATAATGGTATTTGTGTTTACCTACCTCTTTAGCTATGTTGCCTGTGTGTAATAATGGTATTTGTGTTTACCTACCTCTTTAGCTATGTTGCCTGTGTGTAATAATGGTATTTGTGTTTACCTACCTCTTTAGCTATGTTGCCTGTGTGTAATAATGGTATTTGTGTTTACCTACCTCTTTAGCTATGTTGCCTGTGTGTAATAATGGTATTTGTGTTTACCTACCTCTTTAGCTATGTTGCCAGTGTGTAATAATGGTATTTGTGTTTACCTACCTCTTAAGCTATGTTGCCTGTGTGTAATAATGGTATTTGTGTTTACCTACCTCTTGTAACACAGCAGTGTATCGACGTTATGTAACTGATTACGTATATCAGGTATAGAATTAATTACATCAGAAATATCTCGTATCGGACAACACTTCAAGTGGGGCTTATGGACCCTTGACAGTCAGCGTTACGACGTTATGTAACTGATTACGTATATCAGGTATAGAATTAATTACATCAGAAATATCTCGTATCGGACAACACTTCAAGTGGGGCTTATGGACCCTTGACAGTCAGCGTTACGACGTTATGTAACTGATTACGTATATCAGGTATAGAATTAATTACATCAGAAATATGTCGTACCGGACAACACTTCAAGTGGGGCTTATGGACCCTTGACAGTCAGCGTTACGACGTTGTGTAACTGATTACGTATATCAGGTATAGAATTAATTACATCGGAAATATGTCGTACCGGACAACACTTCAAGTGGGGCTTATGGACCCTTGACAGTCAGCGTTACGAGGTTGTGTAATTGATTACGTATATCAGGTATAGAATTAATTACATCGGAAATATTTCGGACAACGTTTCAAGTGGGGCTATGGACCCTTGACAGTCAAGTGTTACGGTGTTGTGTTATTGAGTACATATATTGGGAATAGCGGACAACCTGGGCAGTGGTGCGACGTGGTGTACACTGACCATCTGTAGGGTTTACTGAAACTGACCATCTGTAAAGTTTATGGACCTTTTACAGTTGGTGTTACGACGTTGCGTAATTGATTACATCGGGATCAAGTCTCAACTGACCAGCTGTGTGAGGCTTATGAACCCTTGACGGTACTTGATTTCGGTACTTGATTTTGTATATCGGGAATAGCTCGAGCAACTTGTGTAAATATTAGGTATATCGGGAATATTAATCCAGATTACTATGCACGAAACAATAGATTATAATCGAGTATAGATATAACCCAGGTGGGGGATAATGGAGAGAGGATCAAGGGATGGGAGGGACAAGACTAAAAGGGCTAGAGACTTTTAGGGACTGTACAGATACCAACGACAGAGACCGATCCCAACACTCGAGGTTACCAGAATAAACTTCTAACCAACCATCAACCCGTGTCACTCGTGTTGTGTGTAATGGTATTTGTGTTTACCTACCTCTTTTGACAGACGTGTGAAGAGATCACCACCTCGTAGGAACTCCAATATCAAATATAGTTTGCCCTCTGTTTGGAATGCTAAAACAAAAACATACCATTTGATCATTAAAATGTTAAAAATGTTAAAAATGCTGGCCCCACCCACCATTTATACAAAATTGAGTCCCCTTGGCCTAAAGATGCTCCAGACCAAATTTAGTCATAAATCTACTCAGCCGTTCAGGACTAGTAGCATTTTAAAGGAAAAGTTGACGGACGGATGACGGATGGACGACAGATGGACGACGGACGCTGAGGTATGGCATAAACTCACCATGGTCCTTCGGACCAGGTGAGCTAAAATGTAGGAGGAGATTGCCGGACAAAAAACAAATACTGAAATAAACAAAGGGCAATAACTTTTGCAAGAATTGTTGAATCATAATTCTTTTCAAGGAAACAACAACATATCATGATTATTTAGCCTACTAAGTTTCAAAGAAATCCGTCAAAAAATGTAGGAGGAGATCTCCGGATAAAAAAACAAATACTGAGATGAACAAAGGGCAATAACTTTTGGTAAAATTGTCGAATCAAAATTCTTTTAAGGTCATAGGAGTGCACTGATAAACGGAAATAGGAAGTACATCCTTAGTTGAAAATCCAATGTAGGGAGACAGTATCAAAATTACCGCACGCACAGTCTAATGAGTCTAGAGCTGTGATGAATATTGCACGTTTATTAGTGTGCTCTCTCAATATTAAAGTATTTCAGAGCAATCCAGGCATTAATTCAGTGTTTTTTTATCAATGATTCACATGGGTCCATTTTTCTGTACTTCAGTAACCCGGCTACCTATTTCACTACTGTGAAGTTTTTCAAGAAAGATAACTCTTACCTGCAATTACTATGTGTAAATGGTTTTAAAATAAAATGTCAATTTTGAATCGTTTATAGATAATTAATTTTACACAATTTCAACATTTATTAAATTGATATACATTAATGCAATACTAATCTATGTCAGTATCATTTTTATTGACATTATTTTGCAAATAATTGTCTTTCATTTTTTTTTTAAATTCACCCCTTTTTACATAAATTTACATTTAAATCCTTAAAATTCTGACAACCATATATTTTTTTTGTGGCCATATAACTAAAATTTGAAGAAATTTTCAGTAGAAATGGTGACACAATCCTATTACCTTAAGAGAGACACAACTTCATATCATGATTATAATGTATACGACAATGGACGACGGACACTGCGGTATGGCAAAAGCTCATATAAGCTTAAAAAAAAAATTTGCAATTACTGTTGTGGGATCACACAACGCTACATGATGTGCTGTGTGCGCACCATAAAATTCTGGATGATTATTGCTTGTGCACATTGTGCGCACGATCAATAAACGTTGGGAGATAACAATCGTGGTTGGTGTACAGTACACTTCAGGTGATTTGGTACTGAAACCCCGCGCGGGCGACAGTCGTCGCCTTCGAACTTGACAGATGTTACAAAACGAACACAACACAGAATGATTTGGAGATATGCTTTCAACCCTGGAATTTAATATTTCGTCCAAATGTGACTGATTTTGGCTAGTCTATATTCTAACAGAGGGTAAAAAGCGTTTGCAACACTACAGGTACCGGCGGCGGCGAACCTTGACCCACAGCAGGTAGCTAGCTGCCTGCTAACAGGGTGTCTCAAGTTGTCAAGCATGGTGAGCTTTACCATTCTACACGTGTGTTAATGTATTGGACATATTCATCTTTAATGTATAAACAGGAAACTTACCTGAAAATTATAGAACAATCCAGAACAATTTTTAATTATAACAGTAAGTCCAAGCGCCGGTTATTGTTTTGGTTCGTAAAAAAGGACATTAGTGTCTCAAATATTGGACAAGCCTACCAGATCATTTGATGAGGTGAACTGTGACCTTGCTACTGACAATTACAGAAGAAGTTGAAGAATAAATCTTGCTGCAATCTCATGTCTTAGTTTATTATTGTTATTTTCATCGTGCAGGCGCGGAGATTTCTAGCTATATGCAAATGAGTACACATAATTTTGATGAGTAAAAACATATTTAATATACCTGTATTTCAAACCTTTATTGCGTAAATAAAGTAAAATTTAAAAAAATATATTGGAATAAGTACGTTTTCTTACTTTTTTTCCAAAATTAAAATCAGAGACATAAATTACGTCTGCTTAAATCTAATCGCCAAATTTCCACAAAACACGGGAATTTGATCTAGAGACCTTGAATTCAAAAACTTTCCTTTGGGAGGCCAACCCCCAGCTGGGCCCACTACTTGCGCTACACTTATCATAAATGCAATTAAGCAATTAACTTTAAATCATAGTTTCTCTCACCTGTGTTTAACACCTGCCAATCAAACTATTTTGATACAATGGAAAGTGCCTTACCTGGACGGCAATACAATATATATATACCCCCCCCCCCCCTCTCTCTCTCTCCAAACAGGTGTGAAACTCTCGGTACCTGCTTTTCGCCTGGAGCTGTATATTCTGTACAGGAGTGGCGATTTTAAAGAGAACAGCAATACAAGCATTTCTTATATGATACTAACAATACGTACTCGGTACGATAACTAGTTTCATTATTTATAGAACCAAACTTTTTTTTGAGAAGGCAATTAACACGGAAAATAAACCTGGTAAGAAATTGCAACGGTCACTGGTCTACGATCAGAGTTGTACGATGTCTATATAAAGATCTAATTGTCTGTAACATAATTTTGAAAAAGAGTTTATGAAATATTCCAGAGATTGTTTTTCACTTCTTTCTTTATTTAAAAAGTAGTCGTTCACTTCACTGGAAATGGTACACATATTGTTGAATTTTCGTTATTTTTAGAGGAATAGAAAATTTCACATACATCTGATTAACCGAAAGTAAAAATAGAATGTAGAACAACTTGGAACTCTTCTTCATTTGAGAAATAACACAGTTTTCTTAGACTCTCTGCCTTAAGTTCATTTTTGTTTTTACTCCATTCTCTTATTGTTGATAGTTAGCAACTTAGATTCGGGAAATCTTGGTGAAGCGACGAATTTCAATTTTGTGATATAAGTTTGATCTTGTTTACCCATACTTTTTTTGTTTCCTGAAAAATACGTTAGAAATTATCTTATTTATTATAATACATATCTATTGTAATAGTCGAAATGAAATAAATGTACATTTATACACATATGGTAATTGGATGCTGGTTATCACTTTTGTTCAGCACGTGTTAAGTTTTCGAAAGTAGTTTCCTAATTATTTTCCATTTGTAATTGTATATGTATTATTATTCTTAAACGGAAGAAATGAAGTTTATAGCCTTCGGTTTGGAACGCTGGCATTGAAAGAAACGTGAGATCAACAGATAGATGCGGATTTGTCTACGGAATTTACGGCAGTGGCATTTTATATTATTATTTACGTTTTTGTGTGAAATGACATTCGTTTGAATTTTATTAAGTACCGTAAAAACCCATGTAATTTGCGCACCTGTGTAATTTGCGCAGGCACTTTTTGAGGCTGAAAATCCCCCAAAAAGTATTGTTTTCAGGTACAATGATGTTAAAACTAAGAAGAAACTGCGTAAAATGTGTATTTTGTTGTTTGTTTCCTTTGAAATATCTGATCACACACGTGTGCGCATATCGGCATACATCAATTCATTTTAGCAATATTTTCCATAAAACATTTACTTGCTTACAAAAACATATCAATTAATAAGTAATTTGATGTTTAGTAACCGCTGGTGCATATCTCCTGGTGAAAGACACAATTAGATACCTTTTATTGATCATAATTACGATCAGTGAGAAGGGCTCATTATGGCGGCTTGGGTATCGTCACTTCAAACCAGGTCATGTCATAGTTCAGTTTGGCGATATGTTTTGGCCACACAATTTTTACCTACTGTAAAGTTATTAAAATCGGTCATCTGTGGTCATGACTGCTGGTTTGGCGACATTTATAGGTAAGTTAACCGGAGGGCATAACTTCACCCACATCGCCTGGTACCGGACAATATGCCAGGTAGGATCGCATGCTTCAGCGTAAATTATTGACACTTTTCAACACTACGGTCAATACAAATTACAATGCAGTAATTAGCTAACACTATATCTGTGATTACCTGTTAACAATAGCTCTACTAATTGAAATGATTTGCAGTCGCGAACGCGAACCGTGTTGTTGGGTTTTTTTTCACTCACCAACATGTGGCGTGAATTACGAAGCCCTGCATTGTCATAACTACCGACTGATTTTGACCAATAAGGGATTATAAAAAAATATGTTTATACTAGAAGCGTGGACAATCATTACATCCTATTCAAATCTACTCCAAGGTGGAAAAAATCAAATCAGACTATTTTTACGATGTTTCATTTAATAAATATTGAAATAATTCACGAGGTTATTATCGATCACATGTTTATAACGTAATGTTAGATGCAAGATCAACATGAAAGTGAGCCAGGATTTGAAAAAAAAACACCTAAAAGAACTTACATGGAACGGAGCTTAAATCGAACAACTACATTTTCGTAATAGTAAGCTTATGGGGAAAACGCACTGAGATGTCGAAACGTAATTAAGTTGATCGGCAATTCTCTGACATATAGGAATTTGGCTAAACTTTCTTTGTTAAAGGGGCATCACGCTGAAGTTACTTTTTTTTTGTCTTTTTTTCAAATACTACATAAACATATCAAGTGAGACTCCTTATGGAAAATAACGATCGGATTTGGCTGAAATAGATTCATAAAAATGATTAAATCTAAGATAATCATCGGTATTTCTACCTGTCTGACCAACGTTTTGTTCAGGGATTTCCCTCTACTAGCGCATGCGCATAGCACACCATTTCTTGGTAAACAAAATGACTGGCCATGTGAAGTAAGAGAATGAAAAGTGCTGTACCGTGTCAGCTACAAAGCGAAAAGTTGTCAAATGGTCAAAAGATAGCACAAGGGGTACGTTACGGAATCATTATTGCCAGTGGGAAGTATTCAAAGCAGAAAATAACTGCCCTAGCAGTTAGTACGGTGCATGTATTCTTCCGGATAGCCAGTTAAGCTGAAATGAAATTGACAGAAATGCTAGCGCTGTTTATGTTATGAATAAATATCTAAAAATATTAATCTTGCTAGTATCATTGTGTGAGTTTGAACACAGATGAACTTAGCTTAATATGTTAATGGGCATGTATAGTATCGGAGAGAGTTTACTTTGTGTTTTATAATTATACAGTGGTTTATGCGAAAGGAAGGGATAAGTGATTGGTTAGTTTGATTTTGCCATGAGGCCCTCCAAGGGATAACTGTTGTGATCGCTCTTCCCAGAAAGCTACGTTATCGGAGCTAGATTAACAAGAGGCCCAATGGGCCTGCATTGCTCACCTGTTATTAATCTAACACTTGTAATCTTAAGATTTCATAAGAACCTATTAAAAGATTTAAACATATGACGCCTCTGACCTTGATTGTTGAACAAGGACATTAGGTTGAAAGTGGATCAAGGTCATTCATTTGAACTAACATGGTAGTCCTTCATCCCAGCATGCTACAGGCCCAATTTCAGTACCCTGGCCCTTTTGCTTATTGAAAAGAAGACTATGGAAGATATTACGACATTTGACCCTGTGACCTTGAAAAATGGTCAAGGTCATTCAGTTGAACAAACTTGGTAGCCCTACATCCCAGCATGCTACAGGCCCAATATCAGTTCCCTGGGCCTTTTGGTTATTGAGAAGAAGTTGTTTGAAGATTTTAACATAATTTGACCCCTGTGACCTTGAAAGTGGGTCAAGGTAATTTATTTGAACAAACTTGGTAGCCCTTGATCCCAGCATGCTACTGGCCAAATATCATCTTCCTAGGCCTTTTGGTTACCGAAAAGAAGTTGTTTAAATCAAAAAGTTGACGCCAGACGGACGGTCGACGGACGGATGCCGGCACCATAACATAAGCTCACTTGCCGTTCGGGCAGGTGAGCTTATAATAAGAAACATGACAAAAACATGTACAGTAGGTCTTTTCACCATACGTGAAAAGCCCTCATTATAAGAGATATTATTTATCTTTATTACAAACTTTAAGCATGCAAGTTTAAATTTGATTTTTTAAGTTTCAATTTTGGTCGAATTTTCATGATAATCCACCAACATGAAAGCAAACTGATTAATTCTAAAAAACATGTCAATTACGACAAAATTTTAATTTTGGGGGTCAGCCCTTCTATTTGTTCAATTTTGAATCACCACCACCTAGGGATGCTTCCCGTCAAATTCCAATTAGCAGTTTATAAGGAGAAGCCGTTTGAAGAATATGTTGACAGTCGGACAAGGACCTCAAACATTAATTTAAGGAAAATACTCACCATAATCAAGTTTTACTATAAAAGGATGGTTGACATCAGCCAGAATGTCTCTCTCCATCTTTGTCCTTTGTCTGTCTCGTACTGAAATTTACAAAGACTTTCACATTAGCAACTTTATTTTTGATAATATTTATGGGCAAGTGTTTCAGGAAATCAGTTTAAAAGTTTGAACAATTATGAAACAAGTTATTACTACTTAAATCAATTACTCTCGTTGGCCCTGATGTAAGCACATGGGGAGTCTTCAAGAGAGAATATCCATGTGGTAGGACAGGTGACCCGTATTTTTTCACATCTGATCAGGGAATGGAACCTCAGTCGTCTGGTAAAAGGCAAGTACATTATCCAATGCGTCACCTAACCACCCTTAAGTTTGAAAAGATTCAAAATTAAAATGAAATTCATTACACATCTACCTTTGAGTGTTGCTTTCTTTAATACTTTCATTGCATAAAGGCCACCAGCATCAGTTCCAGTTACTTTCCTCACCAAAAACACCTACAAGTAGAATAAGACTACATCAGTGCAAATCATTCAGATCTTTTCTGGGAAAGTTCTGAAATTTTCAGACTAGGAACCATGGGGAACCTTAATGTGAAATTTGAGAAACAAGAGGCCCAGATGGCCTGCATCGCTCACCTGGATAATAAAGCAACCATGGGAAATTATTCTTACTACATAAAATCCCTCTAATGGTGCAGAAGAGGAAAGATTTAAACCTCTAATTTCCCTATTGGGCCCCGCAACTTTCAGTCCCCAGGGGGTCCAAACCCACCGTTTATACAAAATTTAGTCCCCTTTGCCTTAGGATGCTCATGGTTAAATTGGAATAAAATCCCTTAATTCCTATGGTAGAAGAAGGATTTCAAAGGTTTTACCTCTATTTCCCCTATTGGACCGGACCCCACCCCTCTGACCCCAGGGGGGGCACACCCACCGTTTATACAAAATTGAGTCCCCTTCCCCTTGGCCTAAGGATGCTCCAGACTAAATTTAGTCCAAATCTACTGGGCTGTCAGGACAAGTAGTGTTTTAAAGGAAAAGTTTACGGACGGACGACGGACGAACGACGGACGCTGCACCATGGCATAAGCTAACTTGCCCTTCGGGCAGGTGAGATAAAAACCCTCCTGTAAATTCTAAGAATTAACCCTAACAAATTTTCATTTATAAAATCAAGATGGCTGCCTATCTGCCATCTTGGTTATGTGATCAGTATCAAAAATCAATATGCATAAGTAAGGACCATGGGGACCTTCACGTGAAATTTAAGAAATATCACTCCAGTTCTTTCCGTGAAATAGTGCTAACAATCTTCAGTTCTCAATTTCAAGATGCCCATCTGTCATTCAGTCCCAAAATTTGATTCGTGTAACTATGGACCATGGGGAACTTTCATGTAAAATTGAGTATTTTCTTTCTCTGCCCTTATAAGCAACCCTCCATTTATACAAAATTGAGTCCCCTTTGTAAAAGGATGCTCTACACAAAACTTGGTGAAAATTCCTCAAATCATAGTTTAGTTTAAACATATTTTTTTGACATGACTATTCCAGACCTGTTTACACTATTATTTGTCAAAGAAGAATTAAATTGTAGTTTGTAATAGCAAAGTGTAGTATCCACATGCTAGTGTGCGCATAGATTCCTGCAGGAGAAGTCTGATCAGCAGAAAGTGCAATGCACGAACGTGTCGTCCTTCCTGGAGGTCTGCAGGCATTTCCAATTTTCCGTGTAGGATAAACCGTACCGCTGGGTCGGCACCTTCTTATTACTTGGTGGAATATCTTGTTGGCATTTTTGTTTCAGCATCCTCTGCTCGAGTCAAAATAGCTGTCACCATTTCCATATATTTGGAATGCATCGGGAACCTTCATTAACCATTAGAGGAATGTCTAGATATGAAAAGCTTCGAGATGGACTTTTTCTAGTAACAGGGCATTTGTTTCACCGCAGTTGTCCCATACCTGCCAACCCCAGATATACAAATTGAGGGTGACGACCCTCTTTTGAAAATAAAAAAGAGGGTCATAGCGCTCGACAGCTTTTTTCGCAACAGATATAAGAAAAATACATCTTAAATTAGAACTTAAATATTTTAATGATGTAAGTTACATTCTACATTCATTGAACTGTTCTTCCATCAGATCTAGCTGATCCTCATCCACAATACCAAATTCAAAGCTGAAAAATAAAAAGATTTGTCAACAACACAACTTATAAAATTAATTCATAATAATATATATATGATACTGTGTTTTCACAGGCATTTTTTATGTCCATTAAAATGGTCCTGACAATAAGATGTCACATTCTGCTCATATAAAATACCATTTTGTTTCTGTCAATGAAAATGGTCCCGACAATAATAAGTTGCATCCTACTCATATAAAATATCAGTTTTATACGAGTAGGGCTTGAACTCTTATTGTTAGGATCATTTTGATTGACAGAAACAAATCAACAAATGCCTGTACATGTTTTTGACTAGAGTGCAGAATGCAGCGTTTGGTCCACTATAACTCATTTTCCTAAGACATTTGATATGTGCACAATTATCTTTTGTTTTAGCATTTTGTGTAGTAGAACCTGCAAGTCCCGATAACGACTTCTTCCTTCAAGACTTAACATTACCTTCAAAATACGATCTATTCTACGCAAATACAATTGTAACAAGAGGTCCAATGGGCCTGCATCGCTCACCTGGTATTAATCTCACACTTGTAATCTTAAAAGTGGACTAAAATACAGCTACAGGCAGAATATCAGTGTTTGATTCATAAGAACCTATTAAAAGATTTAAACATATGACGCCTGTGACCTTCAATGACGTACAAGGACATCAGGGTGAAAGTGGATCAAGGTCATTCATTTGATTAAACTTGGTAGCCCTTCATCCCAGCATACTACAGGCCCAATATCAGTACCCTGGGCCTTTTGGTAATTGAGAAGAAGTTGTTTGAAGATTTTAAGACATCTGACACCAGTGACCTTGAAAGTTGGTCAAGGTCATTCATTTGAACAAACTTGGTAGCCCTTCATTCCAGCATGCTACAGGCCCAATATAAGTACCCTGGGCCTTTTGGTTACTGAGAAGAAGTTGTTTGAAGATTTTAAGACATCCGACCCCTGTGACCTTGAAAGTGGGTCAAGGTCATTCATTTTAACAAACTTGGTATCCCTTCATCCCAGCATGCTACAGGCCGAATTTCAGTACCCTGGCCCTTTTGGTTATTGAGAAGAAGTTGTTTGAAGATTTTACGACATTTGACCCCTGTGACCTTGAAAGTGGGTCAATGTTATTCATTTTAACAAACTTGGTAGCCTTTTATCCCAGCATGCTACAGGCCCAATATAAGTACCCTGGGCCTTTTGGTTACTGAGAAGAAGTTGTTTGTAGATTTTACGACATTTGACCCCTGTGACGTTGAAAGTGGGTCAATGTTATTCATTTTAACAACCTTGGTAGCCTTTTATCCAGCATGCTACAGGTCCAATATCAGTACCCTGGGCCTTTTGGTTATTGAGAAGAAGTTGTTTAAAGTAAAAAAGTTGCACCGCACAGACGGACGACGGACGCCGCACCATGGCATAAGCTCACTTGCCCTTCGGGCAGGTGAGCTAAAAACAACTCACTTATTCGTTAAAACACCTGACTAATTACTTGTCGGCAAGTTCAGTTACAACGGTCTTTATATAAACATTTGTAAAAACAGTTCTAGTTAGTAATGTTTATAAACTCACAACTTACCTGTTGGTGAGAAACGGAAACAGGAAATAGATCGTCTTTCTTATGAAGAAGGATTTTAAAGTCTAGAGAATTCCGAGTGACTTCTAATATACGAAAAGATTCCGGGTGAAAACAGGTGAAATCGACAAAATCCGGGTCAAAATCTTAACCCGGCGTGTGAAGTTATAAATGCGGGTGAAGCAGGGTTCTAGTTAAAAGTGAGTATTTTAAGAAATACTAATTGACATTTCCATATCGTGATGATTTCATCAATATCCGCAAACAACAATATTGACTTAACCAGTTGGACAGAATCAATCAGAACTCTCCTGTCTATTTCACGTTTCTACTTTCATTTTTGATTGTTTACATAAAACAGAAAGATCACCAATGCGTTGAATTATACCAAGGCAACACTGCCGACAAACGTCTAATTGAGACAGAACGAGAGCAATGAGAAATGGAGCCATCAAAGAAAAAAATCAAAGTCAACGATTTCTTTGTCGCTCAGAACAGAAATACAGGTGATTTGGGCTCTAAAATTAGCATATGTTTATATTTGCTCTAAATATGATCTATACTGACAAATTTTTCTGTCAGTTAACTTCTGAAAATCACCTGAGCGATACCTGTCACCCACGCAGGGTTTCAGTACCAAATCACCTGAGCGATGCCTGTCACCCACGCAGGGTTTCAATACCAAATCACCTGAGCGATGCCGGTCACCCATGCACCATGCAGGGTTTCAGTACCAAATCACTTGAGCGATGCCTGTCACCCACACAGGGTTTCATTACCAGAGCGATGGCTGTCACCCATGCAGGGTTTCAGTACCAAGGGTTTCAGTACCAAATCACTTGAGCGATGCCTGTCACCCACACAGGGTTTCAGTACCAAATCACCTGAGCGATGCCGGTCACCCATGCAGGATTTCAGTACCAAACTACCAGAGCGATGTCTGTCACCCATGCAGGGTTTCAGTACCAAATTACCAGAGCGATGGCTGTCACCCATGCAGGGTTTCAGTACCAAATTACCAGAGCGATGTCTGTCACCCATGCAGGGTTTCAGTACCAAATCACCAGAGCGATGCCGGTCACCCATGCAGGTTTTCAGTACCAAATAACCAGAGCGATGCCAGTCACCCATGCAGGGTTTCAGTACCAAATCACTTAAGCTTGAGCGATGCCTGTCACCCACGCAGGGTTTCAGTACCAAATAACCAGAGTGATGCCTGTCACCCATACCGTATTTAACATGAACACAGTACACATTTCCTGTTTATATTAACAACAATAGGATTTAAAGATCACTAGTGAAATCTTACCTTTCCAAATGAGCCCTGCCCCAACACTTTTAACAACTCAAAATCTGATGCTGACACTCTTTCTCCATCCTTCATGAGACTTGTAACATCAATCTCTCTGTCCATTTCATTGTCATTCTGAAAGCAACATAAAAAACCCACAAATATAGCATTAATATTACAAATAAACAATATTAACAACACATAGTATTGTTCATTTAAAAACAAGCATATAAATTAAGAGGCTCTGTGGGTCTAATGTTCATCAATATATAAGCAATCGTCGCAAATATTCTCATTAAAAGTATTGTATAATTATTTTCCCATTTAGGGCTCTATACATCTGCTTCAAAGCTAATCTGGTCTAAAAGTGTATATACATAGTTTATGTTAAAAGGTTCCCAACTCTTATCATTGCAATCACATGTACAATGAAAGCATTTGATAAACGATGTGATGCGATCCGAGGTGAATCTAAAATATGAAATTATTTTTAGATGGTAACACAAACAAAATTATCCTTTATAAATTACTATTCTATATCACAAATAATAATTGATATCTCTCTGATTTTCTTTCCCTAGAATTGAATGATGATCTTATTCTGTTAATTTTTTTTTTTGTACTATGAGAACTAAGACTACATTGTTTTATATATATGAACAAACAATGCGATACATAGTTCAGTGAGACAACAAGAAAATTGACCACACATACCTATATATATACAGGTGTCAAGGTATAATTACACCTTGTCTAGCTATATAGAACAGTATTACATAACAGTAAAATGGACCATACATACCTATACAGGTGTAAAGGTATAATTACACCTTGTCTAGTAGTATTACATAACAGTAAAATGGACCAGACATACCTATACAGGTGTCAAGGTATAATTACTCCTTGTCTAGTAGTATTACATAACAGTAAAAGGGACCATACATACCTATACAGGTGTCAAGGTATAATTACCCCTTGTCAAGTAGTATTACATAACAGTAAAATGGACCATACATACCTATACAGGTGTAAAGGTATAATTACACCTTGTCTAGTAGTATTACATAACAGAAAAAAGGACCATACATACCTATACAGGTATCCAGGGATAATTACACCTTGTCTAGTAGTATTACATAACAGAAAAAAGGACCATACATACCTATACAGGTATCCAGGGATAATTACACCTTGTCAAGTAGTATTACATAACAGTAAAATGGACCATACATACCAATACAGGTGTCAGGGTAAAATTACACCCTGTCTAGTAGTATTACATAACAGTAAACTGGACCATACATACCTATACAGGTGTCAAGGTATAATTACACCCTGTCTAGTAGTATTACATAACAGTAAACTGGACCATACATACCTATACAGGTGTCAAGGTATAATTACACCTTGTCAAGTAGTATTACATAACAGTAAAATTCGAGCAACACCTGACCTGGGACCAATTATTACAGGACAAATAAATTGGTCTCCTCTTATATAGCAAATTCTCCCCTCTCAATCAAAAAATGCTTAACAAAATCAAATAACTGTTGATCTACATTTTTTTGGGGGAATATTTTTAGGCTATTAGAGGAACTGATTACTAAAAATTATAAATTGATATGAATAAATGCAGTTAAAAAAGTTTTGACATATAGAAGATCACAGTACCTTAAAAGTTTAAAAGTAAAAACTGAACATTTTGCATTTATTTGGCCTTTGACCGAATGACTGCACTCTATACCATCTGTGGGTCATGCAGACATATACAATATGGAATCTGTAATAAGCAACCACCCAAGGGAAATAAAAAAAAACGGTCATTTAATAAAAATGGTCGTTTAATCAAGTTTGACCATATTTTGTACACACAACCGACTATAAACAAACGACTCCTTATTAAGACAACTGTAAACCGACCACCGCCCCACACACACGTACAGGTAGTTTAAAACAACATCGTTCAACAGTTCAGGTAAATAACTAAACAATAGTCGAGGGATAATTATGACAGTAAACAAACAACAAAGAGTGTTTGAAAAGAATATTTATTTCACTCAGAACAAAAGATTGACAGAGACTTGTTGCAGTTTTCAACTTACATGACTGTATTTTCGGTAATTACCATGATTTAAGCTAACCTAATTGTTACGAAATATATTGTTGTTGAAATGATAGCTGTTCCTGTGTTGGTGCAACAGAAGGGTCCACGCCTAATATTCCTTTAGTTTACGATGGAAACTGGAAAGAGAATCCAGTTAAAAAAAAACTAAATAAAGACAACAGCATGTTGCAGTAAGTTGCTGTAAAACGGACCGGTAGTGTTGTCGTTAGTACTTTGGCGTTGAGAATTCAGGGATGTTATTAAAGGCGTTTAATATTGATGACGAATTAGAAATGATATGTATACTAGTGGTGTGACGATAATCGGAAACATCGATTAAATCGAGTTTGAAAAGGGTCCGATCTAATAATCGATTTTGCTGATGAAAGATCGATTATGTTCAATTGTATTGTAATCCTTTTCTAACTTGAAGTAGACGCAATATCTGCACCGACATTATAATTTTGGTGGTTAATATAAACATGGAATTGTATATGGTAAAAAAGCAAAACTGCTTTTCGTTGCGTCATGTGTATTCGTTTCGTATAATACATACATCCGCATTTTGTATCAACCGAAACCGCCATATTTGAAAGCTAGTAAAATGAAGCTAGAAGAGGGTTTTTTTCGTGATAAATTATTATTAATATGCTATGTTATAGTGATTGGAGCATTCAAATCGGGATAATTAATACCGAAACTGTGAGTACACCTAGTTGTCATCAAGTTTTGAGTCAAAACAGATCTAGAGATATAATTGAATCCTTCCTTCCGCCTAGATTTCGGAAACGAATATTTTCTGATCAGGCGGCACAATTACATCAGATAACAAGAGGCCCAAAGGGCCTATATCGCTCACCTGGATACCCAAGCAATCATGGCAAAATATTCTCCAAATGAGATAAAGGGAATATGACAGACCCCAAGGCCAATCCTTGTAGCATAGCTATATTAGATTTTTCATGCCCAGCAATTTTATGTATGGTTATGGGGTGGGGATCTCAACTGTTTGCAAGCTTTGACTCAGTAACTAGGTCCCTAGAGTTGTGGCCAGACCCCAGGATCGATTCCAATATCGTGACTGCATTTGTCTCTTTATGCCTAACAATTGTATAGCCCTAACCCTAACCCTACAGTTTTGGGGTGGGGATATTAACCATTTCAAAGTTATGACCCTGGGGTTAAGTCTCCAAGGGTGGGGCAGTCCCCAAGGCCAACCTGGAAGCANTGCCCCGTCCCTCAGCCCCACCATTTGTACAATTTTGAATCCCCACCACCTAGGGATGCTACGGACGATGGACGGACGACGGACGNTTCAAGTTATGGCCCAGGAACTATGTCTCCAAGGGTGGGGCCAGACCCTAGGGACATCCTGGAAGCAAATGTGCATTCTTCTCTTTATACTCAGCAATTGTTTATATTGTTATATGGTGGGGATCTCAACCATTTCCAAGTAATACGTTTTATTGGCCCCACCCCTTAGCCTNGGCCAGTGTCTTAGGTTACATGAGTAGGTCATTTGTACCGATAAACGATCGATTATGGAGTTCACATTATCGATCTTAAATATTTGACCGATTCCCAGCACTAATGTATGCTAACATAAACATGTTTAGCGTGCAGTTGCGCTGATATTTAATGATAATTTTGCATGAGAGTGCTGTCGTGAACATCTCTCAACAGACCCGATTTCAAGAACGAAAACCCGCCAGTGTACTTCATCCAATCAGATGGAGGATATTGTAGGGTTAAAGGTTACATTGCCTAGCTAGCAGGACATTCGCGCAACCAAAGTAATTTTGCTCAGCTGCGATAAATATCGGGCCGAATTTTCACTGCTAAATCATCAATATCGGCAGTTAGACAAATTAATTTCTATTTGTTTCTGCACATCGACGAATTTACTATGAGTTCGGATTTTTTAATTTGTTCATTGAACTTGGTGAAAAGATCGCAAATTAGCCCTTTGTCAAATGTGGTGACGGTCGCAAATTTTGAGATACACAACTATTTCACCGATCGTTTGGTATATTTTTGTCAAACATGGTCGCTAAAATGTATCAAATGTGGTCGTTTAACATTATTTTGGGGTCATTTTCGGTGGTCGCTGGTCGCGTTAAAGACAGATGGTCGCTTGACCAGATTTGACTGTACTACAAGATTCATTAGGATTTCCATAACAGTTTAAAAGTTACAGACCAAGCTAAATGTTACTGACAAGTTTGCAATCATTTGACCTATGAACTCGAGTTCAAGGTTATGGTCACCCCCAGAAGATATGCACTACAAATCTTCTGTTGTGATGTAGCTATGTATATCATTGCAAGTTTTATCAAGACAAAGAAATTTTAACGATTTAGAAGTTACGGCTCAGACCCATTCTAGTCAATCTGACACATTGTCGGAAAGTCACTGTGAATTTTCCAGACAATTGATAGGTGTACAGAAAAAAAAAATGCCATGGCCCTTGTCAGTTCAATTCCAATAGACCCATTCTCTACCCTGCAGGTAGATTAACCTGTGGGGAAGTGAACTACCTATACTAAAGGTGTTAACAATAGACCATACTTACCAATGTATAATTTTTCTTAATCATAATCAGTGAGGTCTGATAATTATCAAGGCTTCAATCTACATTTCACAATTACACCAAAATAAGAAATACAAACAAAGAGCAGACAGTAACTATGTATTCAGAAAAAAATGTCAAACGTCTTACCTACCTTAGCTTTTCTGCATTGTTTTTGGCAAATTTTGATGCTCGATAGAAGGAAGCGAGAAGCTTTTATCAACAAATGACCGTCAATACAACTTTTAGAGAACTTGAAATATTTGTTTTCCTAACCTGAATAATCATTATCCGTGAAGCAGCGTTAATCATTTTGGCGCCGAAATTATAAATGGCATATATTATGGTTTTCTTAATTTGACAATAACAATAAAATATTTCTTTTAGTGGATAGTTACAATTATTTAATTTGATAACTGTATCACCATTTAAGTATATATATTGAGAACAGCAGTGTTCTAATAAAATTTAGATTTTTTGTTTCCTTAATGATAACAAGTAGCTATGCCTGGTTTAATGTTCCTGACCAAGGGATATTTTTTTAATTAAACCATAAAAATAAATCATTGATTTCAAAATTTATTAATAATTTGTCAAAATAAATATCATTGATTGGATGTCATTATAATTTATTTATTCTCAGACATATTATTTTGATGAAAATATGCATAAACAAAGATAACTCAATACTTGTGCTTTGTGAAACATACAGTTGTAAAACATTGCAAATTCTCAAAATCGTTATGAATTGATTACATATCGCTAGCCTCCTGAGAGGGATTTTTTTGTAGTTTCACTTTACACTCATCATGTACGTGTTGTCAACGCTATGTGCACTTATTTCTGCTCTTCACTTTTGGTTGGAACACTGACGATAGATGTCGATGAATGATGATTTACATTGTTCAATGGAATGTCAGTCAATATTATGTTTACATTCAAAGCTTACTGTTAACATGCACTCAATAGTAAAGCAATTATACTAATCACAAGGGTTTTCGAGGTCTGTCAAACACTGAAACAGCAGTCAGGAGCAACATTTCTGCCCGGGAAAATCAATAAATATTGACCTACATTTTGGGACGGTTTTCAGGTACGTGGATTTGCTTTGGTAATAGCATATATGGAAATTAATTGTGGTCTTAGGACAAAAGTCGGCAAGTTCGCCGTGTTTGTTTTTTATGTTTTCTGATACTGAAACCGGTATCTGGACTGACCATAGCTTTAGCAGGAGTAAAATTATTTCTGGCTCAAGATTCGATAGTTACTTTAATGGGCTTGGCATTCAGTTATTCAAAAATAATTGAAAATTATATTTAACTTTTTAAAGGAAAACATATCCATCTTTGAATTTGCTATATATAGATCAGGTGATCATGTTGTCATCTGACCATTTAAATTTGTATTTGTAAGGCTAGCAGAATTCAATTCCGGGCTAGTGGATTTTAAGTGTTTACTAGCCCCGGGCTAGATTCCTGAAAAATCTGTTTAAATGACACCTATTGCTATTGGGGGCAGTTCGCCATGGAGTGGCATAAAAAAAACTGAGTAGATTTGTTTGGAGTTGGACATCAAAAATAAGACACACAGACTTCTTCACTGTGTTTACTATTTCAGTCCGACACTAGTAACCAACCGCTGTGGTTGTACAAAACTTGGGAGTTTATCCACACAAAATGCATTTTATGTCTAACGGCAAAATAAACACCGGGTGTCATTCTACATGCCTGTTAGAAAAGCATTTCCGCATTGACCATTTTCTCGTTTCAGTTCCTACCTGCTCGTCCACAAGCATGTCTTCAGTTGAGGCTGCCTGTCAAAATAGAACAGACTGTCATAAAAATACAACCGTAATATGACCTTAGATACTAAACACATGTTGGCATATATGCATTGTTGATACTATCTAAATGAACAAAACGTTGTCAAACCACTTTCTATAAATAACCTTGGCTTAGAAAAAAATTACAAGAAAAATCCAGAGGCCTAGTAAGTCAATCCATCGTACGTTTCTAAGGCAAGGGAACCGAAAATGGAATATAAGTGATTTACCTCCGCCTCGTGGGCCATCTCCATCCGCCTCCATGGGTCTGCAAGTTGTGCCAGTGGCATTCTAGGACTGAAAAGTGGAATTTTGGAAAGTTGTGCTCGACAACACAATTCTAGCTTTGCCTAACTTTCCGAGACCCCGACACAATATGGCGGCTTCCCGTTTCAGATTGAGGCTCGCATATGTTCTACTTCCTGTGACGTAGAGAATATTTGGCACTTTGGCGGGAACTTATAATAACCTTATGACAGTCTTTCAGATTGTATACAGAATGCGAGGCTGATCATGCTCTCAAAGTTGCCAGCAAATTCAGACATCTGTTTAAGTAGCGAATGTATACAGTACATGCATTTTGGACGAGGACAAAGTTGTTCACATATCGATGCTGTCACCACTGGACACGCGGACGGGTGTGTTTTATGAAAGGCCGTTCATGTCAAAAACGAGATAAACGAACGCGTTAACATTTAACGCGTTAAACAAGGATTAAACGCGTTAAAATAGTTTTAACGCGTTAAATGCTATCACGTTAAATACATATATATATATATANAAGCCCAGGCTTATTGGCTTACATGGTAGCTACGCGCCTGGACTTATGTTTTTTAACACGTTCAAGTGTCATAAATGAATAGACCAATCAAAGTTGCAGTTACATACAGTACTTAATCATGGCTGACGACGACAGGACCTGTTTTTTGTTCAGGAAATCCTATCAACAGTGGATTACTGTTATCGTGTTGGCATTGACGGGGATGCTGGCACAATTGATTGACACACTTATACAAAGGTGCTTGTTTTATAGAAAATTGTACTTATCGTATCGTGGATGAAGGATTATTTTGGCAACGAAGCATAACCATTACTTAGGCCTAACGTAAATGCAGGCAAATTCGTCACATAAGTAAGGGTATACATCTATCAAAATGCCGATGATGAGCACCAGTCAGTACAGAAGAACACGCCTGAATGACGTCACGCAGCAACATTTGTGACGTCATCAGGCCTTCTGTGTTTTTGCTCAAAGGTGCAGACAGGTTCAAATTCTTCAAACATTTCACTAATTTGCAAATAATCTAAGTGTTTAAATGTAACACTTTGTATGTTTATGTTTCACAAGTCGTACTGATACGAACAGTTCCGAATGTGTGTGTGTAACAATAATAATTAACGTTTAAATACATGTTTTTTCTTAGTTGTGATAGTTCGTTTCGTTAACTTGAAGAAACTGATTAATGCTGTACTTTTACTTTACTAAAATAAACATATTTATTGTCAATAAAATTGAACAAGGGATTGGGCACAAGTTATTACAACTTATCACAGCTCCTCCCGTCATACATTTATAATTACATGTATGTCAACAATGATAATAGGCATAAGTTACATGAAGTAGATATACACAACTTTAATAAAACACCGTTCAAAATCTGTTGCTGGATTTGATGAAGTGATGCACATGTCTAAAAACGTAAGAGTTAAGGTCCACCGAAAGATCTGAACTGCCAAACAAAAGAAGCTCTAAATTTAAATCTATACCTAAGGCATTCAAATTTTGAAACAAAATACGCCTTTCATTGTTAAAAAGTTGACACTCAAAGAAAAAGTGAAGGCATTCTCACACAGATGTCCACAGATGCAAAATGGACTTTCGACAAGATTAACTCTGTAAAGGTCATACTTAAGGGCACTACAATTGTGCCCCAGTTCTCCAAAATTAATTATTGATCAATGCTGTTCGAGTAAGATGGCTGGGATCTGCTGAGAATAAAGATGAGGTCAATTTACATGCATCGCAATAAAGACTCAACCCTGAACAAATATAAACTTCCAAATCACTTTTTATATACACATACACCGACACTTTGGAAGACTAAAAATGAAAATTTTCCTTAAAAATGGTACACTTTCTATATACTAGTTGCAGGAAGTAATACGAAAAATGTTTTGGCAAAGTTTCGAGGTCATAGGGGTTAAAGTTAAATGTGACTGACACTTCAGAAGACCAAACATGCCTACTTTTCCATTAACGGTACACCTTTTGCATATACTTCTACATTTGCAAAAGTTGTAAGGTCACGTGCTTAAAGTTCAGAGTCACAGACACATCAGGCGACTGAACGTGCTCATTTTCTCCAAAAAAAACGTAGACTTTTTGTTTACATGTATACATTAGATAGTTGTAGGTAATTGTCCCAAGATTATTTTGACGAAATTTCACTTTTTCTCAGCAGGCGAAGACAGCTGGGCATTTAATAGCTCCAAAAATTAAACTAGTTCTGAAACTTAATGTGATATATAATATTTTGTTGATAGGTAATATTATTCACATCAATGTTATTGTTTAGAAGACTACAAAACTTGAGGAGAGATGTGGCACTAGGGAGTTTCTGACCGTTGACCAATTTATTTCAGAACATAGTAGCAGCTGTAGAGTCCATGGAGCAGGGACTACTGTCTTCTTGTCGCGATTCAGGTATGGTACACATAATAACTCTGACAGCTCTTAGCAGTTGGTTTACGAAAGAGGTGGTGGGTACCGGAATTGACCACTCATTTATTCAAAATGGGCAGAGGTAGATAGTGTTCACCCTATCTGTCTGTAAGTCCATCATACCTTGGGAACAATTTGCGTCTAGCTCCATTTATTATCAAATTTATGTCACTTTGTTATCAAACTTCCTTTGTATTCACCTTATTAAGAGTACTACATTAAAGTACATCACCATGCCCTACATCACCACGCCCTACATCACCACGCCCTACATCCCCACATCACCATGCCCTACATCCCTACATCTCTACATCACCACGCCCTACATCACCACGCCCTACATCCCTACATCACCACGCCCTACATCCCTACATCACCACGCCCTACATCCCTACATCACCACGCCCTACATCCCTACATCACCACGCCCTACATCCCTACATCACCACGCCCTACATCCCTACATCACCACGCCCTACATCCCTACATCACCACGCCCTACATCCCTACATCACCACGCCCTACATCCCTACATCACCACGCCCTACATCCCTACATCACCACGCCCTACATCCCTACATCACCACGCCCTACATCCCTACATCACCACGCCCTACATCCCTACATCACCACGCCCTACATCCCTACATCACCACGCCCTACATCCCTACATCACCACGCCCTACATCCCTACATCACCACGCCCTACATCCCTACATCACCACGCCCTACATCCCTACATCACCACGCCCTACATCCCTACATCACCACGCCCTACATCCCTACATCACCACGCCCTACATCCCTACATCACCACGCCCTACATCCCTACATCACCACGCCCTACATCCCTACATCACCACGCCCTACATCCCTACATCACCACGCCCTACATCCCTACATCACCACGCCCTACATCCCTACATCACCACGCCCTACATCCCTACATCACCACGCCCTACATCCCTACATCACCACGCCCTACATCCCTACATCACCACGCCCTACATCCCTACATCACCACGCCCTACATCCCTACATCACCACGCCCTACATCCCTACATCACCACGCCCTACATCCCTACATCACCACGCCCTACATCCCTACATCACCACGCCCTACATCCCTACATCACCACGCCCTACATCCCTACATCACCACGCCCTACATCCCTACATCACCACGCCCTACATCCCTACATCACCACGCCCTACATCCCTACATCACCACGCCCTACATCCCTACATCACCACGCCCTACATCCCTACATCACCACGCCCTACATCCCTACATCACCACGCCCTACATCCCTACATCACCACGCCCTACATCCCTACATCACCACGCCCTACATCCCTACATCACCACGCCCTACATCCCTACATCACCACGCCCTACATCCCTACATCACCACGCCCTACATCCCTACATCACCACGCCCTACATCCCTACATCACCACGCCCTACATCCCTACATCACCACGCCCTACATCCCTACATCACCACGCCCTACATCCCTACATCACCACGCCCTACATCCCTACATCACCACGCCCTACATCCCTACATCACCACGCCCTACATCCCTACATCACCACGCCCTACATCCCTACATCACCACGCCCTACATCCCTACATCACCACGCCCTACATCCCTACATCACCACGCCCTACATCCCTACATCACCACGCCCTACATCCCTACATCACCACGCCCTACATCCCTACATCACCACGCCCTACATCCCTACATCACCACGCCCTACATCCCTACATCACCACGCCCTACATCCCTACATCACCACGCCCTACATCCCTACATCACCACGCCCTACATCCCTACATCACCACGCCCTACATCCCTACATCACCACGCCCTACATCCCTACATCACCACGCCCTACATCCCTACATCACCACGCCCTACATCCCTACATCACCACGCCCTACATCCCTACATCACCACGCCCTACATCCCTACATCACCACGCCCTACATCCCTACATCACCACGCCCTACATCCCTACATCACCACGCCCTACATCCCTACATCACCACGCCCTACATCCCTACATCACCATGCCCTACATCCCTACATCACCATGCCCTACATCCCTACATCACCATGCCCTACATCGCCATGCCCATCACCATCCCCTACATCACCACGCCCTTCATCCCTACATCACCACGCCCTACATCCCTACATCCCCATGCCCTACATCCCTACATCACCACGCCCTACATCACCATGCCCTACATCACTACATCACCATGCCCTACATCCCTACATCACCATGCCCATCACCATGCCCTACATTATGGTGACATTAGTTAGATCACGGTTTACATCCGCCCCTCAGCAACTATAAGTTGCATATTCGTCAAACTATATATGGCCCTACATCTTTACTAGTAGGATGCTATACTATTGTGACCAACATAGGTTGCTGTTAACTTTAACGTCAGTTTTAACAATGTCAATTTTGGACAGCCATGGACGAAGGGTTGAGGTGAAAAGAGTTAACCCTCAGTTGGATGTAAACTCATGCAATACTGTCTAGTGG